TAACTGAGCAAGAATGCACCCCAACATATGTGTATCTCACTTTTGGAAATACTTCTGCTTATTAAAGTGAAAAAAAAAAATCTTTACTGCTGTAATAGTCTGTATGGTTCCACTTCCCAGATTCTTCTGAAAAGAAACCCTCCACACTGGCAGAAGATCAGCAGGCAACATACACATTGTTAGAGAACATCAAGCTAAGTATTCAACACAATGATGTTATGAAGCCAATCAACCTCCTCCTACAGAAAGTTAAACCAGATGTGAAACGACAGAGGTAAAGACATAATCTCTTCTTAGTTTCCCTCCACCAGAAGTTAAATAAGATCAGACTGTGTACATTTCATAGCGATAATTTCATAAAGACCTCTGGGGAAGATTCCATTTCATTTGTGTCCACCAAAAACCATGTGTACCTTTTTACACCTGTGTTTACAAACTGATGCACTCTATATTCAGATGCATAGTTCAACCAGATCAAATGGATGAATGTGATTCTTTAATAAAAATGGACATTTTACAATGAGCAAGAAAAATGCAGGTATTAATTACACAGATTTTGATGTTGCTCCAGATCTAGCCAATTGATAAATACAAGTGTCCTGTTGCAGTGTGTGGAATATTCTTGCAAGTTATATCTTCTGAAATTCTAGCAATCTGGAATACTGGCTATGAAAAGTGGTTGCAGTGTGAGTCACAAAGAGAGGGAGACTTGTAAATAGTTCTTGTATTTTGTAATCTGCACTGCAGTTCAAGGAAGGCTTTGTACAAGAGCACAGACTCTGAAGTAAACTACAGCAGATACAAGATGTATTTAAGTTTCTTATGCTAAGTCATCTTTGTTTCTGTGTTTTGTAGTTACTAAAAAGAAACAGAAACTGCTCTGCTTAGAGAAGCATCTTTGTTTTCCACAAGGGGAAAAAAATAATATCTGATTATTTAATGATGCCTATTTCTGAGATTGCCCATGACATTCTGAAACAAAAAACAAAAGTATGGATGATCTGAAGGAGCCCATACTCACACATTGCTTCATGGTCAGGCAGGAATGAATTAATAATAAATAAAAAAGTGGTGGTTATTTTAATATTTCTTGTTTATTAGGCATTTCTATGGCAGAGGAATTTTTCATAGAAAATGTAATTACTAGGATTTGGGAGTGGTGTGGCTTTCTGTCAAGTAAAAGTATTCAGGCATTAAAAAACCTTAAGCTAGTAGTCATGTATTTAGATTGGCCACTTTTTTCACAAGCAAGGTTAACAGAACTGTTGTTGAAACTACATAATGGAAGTCTTCAATATTGACTTTGAAAACAGGATAGTTGATGCTTTCATTAACTCACCCTTCAAAATATTCCCCTAGGAGTTTTTATAGGGAAATTCTTTTCCTGTCTCTGGTGTCTCTTGGAAGAGAAAACATTGACATTGGTAAGTAAAAAAATACTGTGAAATGCATAGTTCTTTTCGATATTTTTCATGAAAGCTAGTGTATAAAATCTGTTTCTAAGATTCAGTTGTGTTTTAGTGAAAATTACTGCACTGTCAGTCTTTAGATGTTGCTTTTATGTAAATATAATTCAGATGAAACCATTAATTTTGACTTTGTTTGAAACCAGTAATGAGTTACTTTAAACAAAGAGTATTTGAAGAGCTTGAAGTTTTAATTCTCCATGTCTGAAAGCTTGTTTCCAGTCTTGTCCATCTTTCTCTGACCCACATATCAGACCTGTGTTATCCAAACATCTGATTTCCCACCCTCTACTGATCTCTTCTATCCTGCCTTCTATTTGGTTCTACACAATTGAAGTGACTCCCTCATGGAATGTGATAGGGGAGCTACACTGGGAACAGGCAAATAAATGGAGCTGTGAAAGAAGCAATGGGCATCCACTGCTACACCATCTTATGGGGATCCTTTTCAGGTCCTCTGAGAAGATGCATTTTGAAGAAAAAAAAATCAGCATCTAGTTAATGAAGATGATTTTGTTACTATATAAAAATCACCAAAAGCATTTTATAGGAACAGTAGTATGCATTGTACAGTTTTTCTTAAATAACTTCAACTCTGCTTTTTCTGTTTCAGAGGTCTTTGATAGTGAGTACAGACTTGCACTTAAAACACTACCAAAGGAAGTTCTTGAAAAGATGCAGAGAATAGACGTTCCACCAAGCAGCAGGGTTGAGTGTTGCAGGAAGTGGTTTGGAGCACCTTTAATATAAAAACAAGGAAGACACACACCATACTTCGGAGAGACAAAAGCAGAGCTGAACAAACCCAAGAGCATGGTGACACACACTTTTGAGCCTCAAAAGGTGTTAATCGAGCAATTTGTCAAACCAGTTTCATTGAACTGCAACATGTATTCTTCTCACTCATGTCATGGGCACATTGTAAAATTTGTCAAAATGTTTTAAAATGATGAGTTTGTTTCAGTGGCTGATCTGCTTTTCCCCTATATATATATATTCTTTAATTTCCTCAAAATTTTCCTCCACAATATCAAATTATTCAAAAAGCTGATGATGAAACAGTAGTCTATAGCTGGTGACTTTCTTAAGGGCCACCAGTACTGGTGTATTTTAATGAAGTACTTTTCCAGTACTCAGGTTCTTCAATGCTTCTTTAAAATGATCTTTACCTAGAGGGGCGTCCTTTTATTAGTGTGTGGTATGGTTGTATGAATGTAAATATTTGTAACCTTGGATTGGAAGCTGCAATGCAGTTGCTTTCATCAGACAGTATATTAAATTGCTACCCTTCTCCTGACTCTTGTCCCCGTCAGTATTCTGAACTACCTTTGCTAACCTTTTCAAAATGTTTATCTACAGCTGTGAGAAAACAGAGACTTACACTCAACTTTCCTATATTCTCTATCTGATAAACTGTAACATTCTGTAAACGTACTGGCTGCTTTCTCCAAAGAAAGATAAGCTTCTACACAAAGCAGCTGAGAAATGGATGGCTTTCTAAAAATTATGTAGGAAGCTCAAATGGTATTAGAATACACACAAGAATTGTGTGTAATACACACAGATACTGCCTGAAAAAAAAAAAAATACGCTTTATACTATTTGCATGTGTGTTTAAGAGGTGTCCTTCTCTAATTCTTTTATCACCCTCTCCCTTGGTTTTATACTATGGGTTAATTATTTTGCACTGATAGTCCAGATTCAATATTTCAATTAAAATGTATTTATAAATGTGGTCTTCAAGGTGTATATTAGCAGAAATGAAGTGCTTATGTGTATGATCTGAAAAGATGTATCCATCTTTTGTATTGCTTCTAGTAGATAAGACACTTCCTCACCTCACATATTTAATTGACTACAGTAGTCATAGTCTTGGCAAGGAGAGCCTGGATACTGGTCAACAGTGTAAGTGTTTCTGTTACTTGAAGAATATTATAAGATTTATTCCAGGTTTTTGCTGAAAGTTAGTAATATGGCTTTTACAATGGAATAATTCATAGAGAAAAAATATATTTGTAGCATGTAAAAGGAGCATATAGCTTAAAGTATTAATTGCATCTGGATATGAATGTATTTACTTGATACTACTTTAAAAACTTTTCGTTCTTCAACATTATGAGGGATGAAGATCTGTCTGGAACTATTTTTTACATGAAACAATAAAACCATTTTTTTTTTCATGAGATGAAAACAAGGGAGTTGCACTACATATGACAAAATATATTTACATCATAGACTGATGCCTTGTATTTTGTCTAAAAGTGCTGATCCTAAGTTAATATGGGGATATTACCTGGACAGATTCTCTCCTGATAAAACTGTTGTGCTTTCTCAACAACTAAAAACAAGAAAGCACACAATTTTTTTTTTTTTTTTTTAATTCTTTATTCTTTGGGTTTATGCACGGTTGCTTGCTGATACCTGACCTACATCACAATTAAAGAATAGTCCTTGATTCTTCATCTTTTCCTCTCTTCTTTAGTTACATAATTACATGGTTCCATCCTTCTAAAATTGAAGTCTATCTAAAGATATCTAAAGCAAACAAATTAATATTTTTACAAATCAGCAGCAAATTTTTCTGTGTAACTATATGCATTATTTTTCAACAGACAGCTACGCAAAGACCATTATTTTTGAGTATTAAATGGACAAACCATGTGATTATGTGATGCAACTTGCAAGAAATCAAGTTTTAGTTACACTTAAATTCTCCCAACTCATTAAATGGCAAGGAAAATCTGTCTAGTGAGTGCTGGTTTAGATATGTGACATCCAGTTTTAAAGCATAGTAACTAATATTATTATGAACTAGTTTTCCTAAACACATCATCTTCATTTCCAAACAACTTTCTCATCTGTTGGTGAAAATATAGATTAATAAGGGAGTAGTGTTGTAAATACAGCAAAGCAGATTGTGTCACAACACCTAGTGTTAATTGTTAAACCTTTCCCAGCTATATACACTAAACAAACAAACAAACAAAAAAAAACCAACAGAAGTAAAGCCAGAGGAGAAAAGGACAGCTGCAGAATTGGACTTGCTTTGATTTTCTCTTGCATATTGGCATTTTTGTACACTACAAATTAACTGCTATTCCTGGTATAGGCACCTGGCTTTCAGGGTGGTAGAAGTCCTGCATGTAGCTACTTGAAATCTTGAATCTGCATATTTTAATTGATTCTTTACTACAGAATAAAAAAGGAAGACCTTCTCTTTTTTGTAGGGAGTTCTTAATGCTTAGGTTTTAGAGTAGCTAACTAATCAGTTGTTTTTTTTAATGTAATCCATAGCTCAGATGAAAAGGGAGATCTTTGAAAACAGTTTGTTTTCATCTCAGATTTTTCTGGGAGAAAAGTAAGTTTCACAAAATCTGGCCAAAAATAACCAGGGAAAAGTTTCGAAAGCTTGTTGTAAGTGCATTGCAAACATTTTTGTTCTTCTGAAAATTAGGCACTAAAGGCACCCTTCTGCAATTTAATTGACAGGATGAACTTCTTGGGCTACATGGGGATGACTTAGTAATGTACAAATGCTTCTAAATTGTTTGACATCCAGCTCCTATGAATCCAAATTTATCTGAGTCCATTATACATTATTGATCTGAGGAAAGTGTTGGGAAGGAGGGATGAGGATAAGCTAGATTTTGGTTCTGTTTTTTGTCAATATAAACAGAAGAAGTAGCATTTTGCTCACTTGCGAAACTCTTGCCTCCACATACTCTTTCTAGTACCTCAACAGCCAGTGTTCAGGAGTTTATTCTTCTGTGGATATTTTGTGATTCCCACGTACAACCTGAGGAAAACATTTGCAGATCAGCACTAACTTCAAAACATGTGATTTGTGCACAAAATGAGGATGTAGAGCAACCTGATAACAGAAGTGGATGCAAACAATGAATTTCAGGTACACCAAAGAACTTAGAAAGTTTATATTGAAAGAAAAATTATCAAAGAGAAACTTCCTTAAATTGTTTCCATAAGGATGTTGAACTGCAGCCAGTTGTGCTAAGATACTACCTTGCACCTTTCACCCAGCTATAAATCAGTCACATATACAGCTTGTGTGCTCACATGCGAAGAGCTGGGTTTTTTGTGGAATTGAAACAACAAATGAGGTCTTAAATGTTTAAAATCAGAATTCTTAAGTTAAAAAGCTTTTCCTTATTAATTATATTCTGGCACATCACCAAATCCTGACAACTTTGAAAACCTTTTAGGCCTAGGAGACTGGTGTGGTTGAAGTGTTGGCGCAGTCATTTGTTCCAGCTTTTACATGTTACCAGAAGCATCTGTATGTTACTTATAATCATAGCCTGTCTTCAAATTTCATGTAACTCAAGTTTAGACAATACAATTGTAATGGAAAGTATTTTATTTACTATATGTGTTTCAAACTAAATCAATTTTGCAAGTAACTTAGTCTTGTTCCTTGTGGAATTTCACATTGGTTAAGCTCAAGCTACATTGCACTTGTGAATAAGTAATATTCTATTTTAACTGTGAATTAATGGCTGTTTGTATTGCTGCAGCTAAAAGAATATACCTTTCATTGAGTTTACTGCTTTCCTTGAATAACTGCAAAATAGGGGATATTTTCAAAATGTATATTAAATTAGATAATAGAAGTTATATTTTTAAAACAAATTGTTAAAATGTAAGGAGCTGAAGAATCCACTCAGTAGTTTTTTCTTTCTAAAACTTTTAATTCAACAATTATTGCAATGCAGATAACTCCTATTTTATTTACAGTAAGCAGGTAATCTTATTCACATAATTGTATCATTTTCAACAAAAGGGTTCTTTTTTTCTTTCAACTAATAAAAATCTTAAAATGCAGTCTGTATATCCACTTTTCACTATGTATCTTTTTAAAAACAAACACCCTTTTGACTTGTAAGAGTTGAAACTGAATGGTTGGATTGGATTCTAGTTCTGTAGTCTCCTGTGCTGTATATTGTGATGCATACATGAGAGGATCGGATGGCGTTTTTATTTGTTCTTTCAGTCTGCATCAACCAATGGTGCAAATAAAAGGGATTGTTTGCTGTTGTTCAGAAGCACATTAAACTCCTATGAGGAGCTCAAAATAAACTATATAGTTACAAGGATGAAATGATGTAGTGTGAATAAATTATTAATCTATTAAGTGAGCTGGGAAGCTTAATGCAATAAAATTTGCACTGGTTTAGAGACTGTATTGAACTGTTGAAAAATGGCATCCATTTACTGTGCTTTGATTAACAATTGTTTCTCTGTAATATTTTCTGTACATTTGACAAAAATTTGAGTTTAAAAGGGCACTCTATATCCTGAATTCTGTATAGATATTCTAGACTAAGAAACAATTTTTAATGTTGTTCCAAAAATGAAATATATATGCATCCTGTGTAAAAATATGCCATTGTTTTTTCGCCACTGGAATTTAAATGATTGACAGAATTTAATCTTAAGTGTAAATTCAGCCTATAGTTCAGCAAAAGACTTTTGGCTGTCTTTTTGCATAATTATTTCACAGTACCTCAGTGGCTTTTGAATGATGGGAAAGAGCAGAGGCAGGGGGAGAGGGAAATAAAAAATGGGACTCACTTGTGGAGATGTGGCTTCTAGAGAGTATGGATGGCTCTGTGGCACCTTCAGCAAGCACTGGGCATCAGTAGAGGTAAGAAGAGGTGAAGAACAGGCTCAGTGTGACAGAATCTGTAAATCTCTTGTTTGTAGGAAGAGCATAGCCCCTGGCTTGGATAGCTGTTGCTCTCTGCAGCATCTTTGTGGCTTTACTTGGGGGAGCACTTCCCAGGAATTCTGGTTTCTCAGTGGCTTTGTAATGGGATCACAGAGTGATGCTTTCACCTGATGCGTCCTAGCGTGTCAAAACATTGGTGGACCTCATAACATACTTGTGGGTTACATGTAATTTCCAGGTTGTTTTTTTTTTTTTTTTTTTTTTGGGGGGGGGGGGGGGTTTTTTTTTTTTGTTTTTTTTTTTTTTGTTTGTTTGTTTGTTTGGTTTTTTTTTTGTTTGTTTGGTTTTTGTTTGTTTTTAGTTTGTTTTGTTCTGTTTTTTTATGGGGCAGGGATTGGAGTGAGGCTGAGATGAAATTTAAGTAGTAGAAATTGCCAGTGCCTCAGGCCTTCTTCATCTTCACAAGTGAGTATCTTTCAAACCTCCCTCATGTATGGCAGTCAGTTCATTAATGTGACAGTGATCAATAAGAGTACAAGACCCTAAAGACCTTTCTTGGCTAATGAGACTGATGTGCATATCACAGATTGATATCTTGTGGAGAAGATTTGTAATAAACCCATATTTCCAGACCTAGTTTTATATAGAGAGCTGTCAGGAACAGTTAGTCTTCTGGACTTGTGTATCTTGCAAGCATCACACTGACTTTCCTTGTTTTCCTCTGACTGCTGACTTTGTCACTGCTGACTTTTCAATAATGATGCTTGCTAAGAATATTACCCTGCCTTAGCATTTCCTACCCTTCATGTGGCCTGTTGAGGGACGAGACAGAAGAGAGGGAGAATGCTGAGCAGGAACAAATACTTCCATTTGACGAATCCCCAAAGAAGCATGAACACAGGGTTTGGGTTGGAAGCTGTAGAGAGGAGGGAACTGCTACTTCCTGTGTTAGAATCTGGCGGGAAATTTGAGGGAATGTGATAGCAAAATAGCAGAAGGTGCTTGCTTAAGGAAGCTCTGATGTTTCATGTGTTCAGAATCACCTTGAGTGGGAGTTCCTTGCTCATAGTAATAGTTACTTCCATTTATGTAAAGACAAACTTCTACTGTCTACAAAGAAAAGGAAGAGCCAACTAACTTGCTAGGCTGGAAAACTGATGGGGTCCACAAGTAATCTGAAAGGTCTTGCCTCTGTGTAGGAATAATTGCATGTGCCAGAGCAGCTGAGCAGGAAAGGCCTTGTGTTGCTGGTGGGCATCAACCTGCCCCTGAGACTGCCCTAAAAAATGCTCAGACTTGACCAGCCACTGCCCTGCTTCAGCAGGTGTTTGCACATTACTGTTTTCCAGAGTTGCCTGGAAGAGTCTCGGTGGTTCCATGGAGTTGGGTGGTAGACAGGAACTGCTGGGAAGACCAAGGGCTCACTTCACCTGGTTACGAGAGTAGTTCAGAGGGATGTTCCAGTATTTTGTTCAGGTTTCTTCAAGATGCTTTCCTTTGGCATTTTTTCCTCATTTGTTGTCTGTGTCACGCTGCCTAAATTCAGACCTCGCTGGTTAAAAGTGATGATGTATGTCAGTGTTATGTGTATTCTGTTTCCTTTGGTTGCAGAGATGAAATGGCAACCAGTCAGCTTCTGACCAGGGTGCGTTACTTGCCCTGAAGCTTAAGGTGTCTGAGTATGCAGCCAAGCTTCAGACTTGCAGAAAATCTGCCATTAAAGAGCAGAAATCCTGTCAAATCTGCTGAGACATGCAAGGAAAAGTTGCAGTTCCCAGACAGCACTTTGCATTTAGTATCACAGGTTTTAAACTGCTGTTAAGCTGGTAAGGGACTATTGCAGCTACTGGCCTTGTGGTTTTATTGCCGTTCCTATTGCACACGGGCAGAGCAAACATGGTGTTTCTTCATTAGCCTCTTTCAGATTGGCCACTTGAGTCATCCGTGACCTAAAGCCATGGTCAAAGTAGGTGACTGGGAAAACTCAGTCTGAGTTTATCAAAGGCAAATCATGCCAGGCTAAATTGGTAAGTGCTACAGAAAAATAGCATGTCAAGACAGAGCAGTATTGTTCAGCTGGACCTTGGCAAAGCATTTGACACCGTTTCCCACAGCTTCCTCCTGGACAAATGTCAAATATAGACTGGATGGCGGTGATCTGTGAAATGGGCAGGAATCACCTCATAGGTGATCAGTGTGTTTTACTGAGGCTGGCAGCCTGTCCCAAGTGGGGCCCCCCAGGGATCAGTACTGGGCTCCATGTTGTAACATCTCCATGAATGATCTGGATGGGACCAAAAGCACCCTCACCACGTTTGCTGCGTCACTAAACTGATGTTAGGTGAGGGGGACACGGGGACAAAGAGAACCACCTTTCACAGACCTGAATGGGCCAAACTAGATGATCTTTTAAAGTCCCCTCAAGCCAGGACAGTTATTTGAGTCTACAAGGCATGATATGCTGATTTGCACTTGAAAGCCTAAGACTGCAGAAGGAAGCAGCAGATGATGTACTAAGGCAGCTCCAGGAAACAAGAGAGGGAGAAGACTGCAGAAAGGATTTTTTTTGTTTAGTGATAAGGCCACGTATTTTCTGGCTCTGACAAGGCCCCACATCCTCAAAGCTTGATAAAAATAACCAGGACTCTACTGACTTTTTCACACAATCATACAACTGGGTATTAGTTGTACTATTTCAGAGAAAGAAGCAATCACAGCTTTATAGCAGAACAGGTCATACAGAATAGCCTATAACACTCTGCTTAGTAGCATCCTGTTGAGAACATTCTTGTTCTTTTCCAGGACACACCTCAGTGCTTGTACACACCGACCAGAGTACCTCTTAATTGTGTGCAAGAGATTTTACTAGGATTAAGAATCTAGACAGTGTTATTTCTCTTCTGCAGATTGTAAAATTCTTAGCATTGTGAACTTAGTGAATGTTACTCCCTTATCTACATTTTCTCCAATTAAATTTTGCAGCTGAGACACTAATGTGGAGTAAAAAGGGACCTTTTTATTCAGTGAAGCTCAGGTTTAACAGGCCCGATGGGTCTGCACTATTAAACTGCAGGCAATGAACGTGGTCTCCGTAAAAAAAGTACATTGTAAAATGGTACCTTTAAAATCTTGACCTAGCCAGCATTATTTAACTCATGTACAGCCACAATTAACAGCCCTCCCTTTTCTGATTAGTTGTCCTTCAAGACCAGTCTCAGTTAAGTTATGAATGATGGCTTAAAGCTTGGCAACTGCTTTAGCCACGTCTCTTGGTCCATGGCTCCACTGCACTTAAGTGCTTCATGGCAAATACTGTCCTAATACAAACCTTAAGTTCAAGGAACGCAGGTTTGATCCTGCCATGCCCCTTGTGTACGGGCAGCAGATCTTGTCTCCTTCAACTTTTTAAGTCCAGATTTTTCATCTGATACGCTAAAATATGCTTCTAGCCAGGAGAGGCCCTAACTCAGAGAGCCTTGCCACACAGACAGGAATAAAAACCTTCCCAACTTCTTATGTTGTAGTGAAGCTCTATTTACTAGAAAGAGAAGCACCTATCTCAACAAAATAGAAGTGGATCCAAATTACTATTTTAAGAACTAAGAGAATTTATTTAGCTGCAGACCATTTTAACATCCAACACATGTATTTTTGAGTCAAATTCCCATTATCCTCACCCAGTATATACTGAATGCATTAAGGCTACCGAAGTTTCTAATCCCCAAGTCAAATTTTCAAGTCAAACCTTACAAGTTAAAAGGTGCTTTCTCATGCTCAGTACCAATTTCAAGAGCAGAATGCTGCAATACCTACAGAATCGCCAGCATCTCACATGTGCAGTAACCCAAAAGGATCATCTGAGAGGAACACCAGGGCTCCTCAAAGGACTACCCACCGCCAAAGTTTTTGACTAAGAGCATCATCCAGACATTCCCAGAACTCTGGCAGGTTTGTGGCCACTTTCCTGGGGAAGCAGTGCCAGTGAGCATCTGAACTGCACTTAATTCTGCCAAGAATAAGCTGAAGGTTTAAAGTTTTACCCATGTTACACTCAGTACAAAAGTGACATGATCTTTTCCTAAGAGAACTGCATCAAGATCATGGTTTTTGGTTCTAGTTTGGTGTGCATGATGCAGTAGTCTGAACTCCTATTTAAGAAATTGCCAGTAACAACATGCACTACAAAGTCTCATACTGGAAGTTTGCCACCAAAGGCGTTTATTGGTTATCAAATGCAAGTCTTTTGAGTATCATGCACAACATCTTTACTTCTGACTTGATTCAGACTTGGATGTAGAAGCTCTCAAAGAAGAAAGCCGGCGCCTCTTGGCAATCTGCTCCTGGCGTTTCTCCTTGGCTTCCTGAAAGGCATGAAGAAATACGGAGATGTTACATATTCATTGAGCACTTTTAAAACATATACTAAGGAACAAACTAGGGGAAATGCAGCTCGAAGGAATGAATTCTGAAACTCAGAAAAAATTTTGTGCTATTTGTGAAATAGCACAGAATAATTTCCCTTCTACAGCTCAGAAGAATCCTGCCAGTATTCAAACCAGCACAGACCTGTGTCTTTGCACAGTATGCAAACACCCAAAACTATGTTACACTGCACACCAAAACGTTACTATGCACACCTGAAACTTTAGTTAAGAAAGTGATGTAGAGTTTTCAACACACCAAAGGTGCAGCTCTCTGTTTCTAT